GTGGGGTTGTCCCCCCCCCCCCCCAAAAAAAAATTAAAAAAATAAAAACCGTGATCCCGTAAGCTGACGTACTTTGCTTCGCTGGCCGTGAGGTGTCTTAGCAGGACGTTTGTTCCGAAAGTCAGGCCGTCCATGTCCTCCGTGGCTGTGGCAAAGACCTTCCCCGCTTTGACCAGAGCGGCGCAGCTGGCCTCCGCCTCACACGGCGCCTGCAAACGCGCGTTCAAGACGAGCGCCGTGAAAGCAGTCGACTTTTTTGTCATGGCGAGCACACCTTGACCACGCACGTTTACATAGAAGCCCAAAAGAAGCAAAAGCTTTGCAATTTGGTGTCCGTGTCTGCCGTCGCCATTTCCAATCGGCGCTCTCCTCTCCTGGATGAAGTCGCCGGGAGGACGTTTTTCAAAGGACCGTTCTCCAAATGGCCGACTCGCTTTGTTTTTGGCCATGGGTCTTTTGAGACTTTTTCGTACGTGCAACTTTGTGCCGAAGGGTGAAACACATTTCTCGGTACCGCTCAAGGTGGGCAACTTGTACATTTTCCGTTCCATGAGGGTGCATGATATTTGTAGTGAAGTTGTGCAGTCCGGTTGGATGGGAAGGCGTCGATTGCAACATTTTCATCCAGACCACCACAACAGCTTCCTTTTGGTCGTGAAAGCAGTCGTTGCGCTGGTCTGGGTCCATTATTTGTTTCTTTTTTCAAAATCGATTTGATTGAAAAGGAGAAGCGTTGTCAAAGAAAGCCGATCGGCTACTCGCCTCAATGTAGGGCACTCCCATCATCGAAGGGTGAAACACATTTCTCGGTACCACTCTAGGTGGGCTACTTGTACATTTTCCGTTCCATGAAGGTGCATGATATTTGTAGTGAAGTTGTGCAGTCTGGTTGGATGGGAAGGCGTCGATTGCAACATTTTCATCCAGACCACCACAACAGATTCCTTTTGGTCGTGAAAGCAGTCATTGCGCTGGTCCGGGTCCATTATTTGTTTCTTTTTTCAAAATCGACTTGATTGAAAAGGAGAAGCTTTGTCAAAGAAAGCCAATCGGCTACTCGCCTCAATGTAGGGCACTCCCATCAGAGTCAGCAGCTTCTTGCACTCATCGTTATGCTGCCTGGTGACTTTGACCAGACGTTTGGAGAATTTGTTAATGTCTTCTTGTTCCCCTGCGTCGAAAAAAAACAGAATGTCTTTTTTATAGATGCATATTATGTATAAAATCATGGCTAAATCGAGATTTGACTGTCAAATTCCTTTTGGTCGTGAAAGCAGTCATTGCGCTGGTCCGGGTCCATTATTTGTTTCTTTTTTCAAAATCGACTTGATTGAAAAGGAGAAGCTTTGTCAAAGAAAGCCAATCGGCTACTCGCCTCAATGTAGGGCACTCCCATCAGAGTCAGCAGCTTCTTGCACTCATCGTTATGCTGCCTGGTGACTTTGACAAGACGTTTGGAGAATTTGTCAATGTTTTCTTGTTCCCCTGCGTCGAAAAAACACAACGTCTTTTTTATATATACATATTATATATATAAAATCATGGCTAAATCGAGATTTGACTGTCAATGGAATTCTGTACCAAGTTCTTGGGCTTGCGCAAGCATTTTCTCAGCTTCTGCTCTCCTCTCCACTCTCTTTTCCAGCTGTGGTGAAACAGAGGAGTAAAGTTCAACGGAGATCGACGTAGCTGAGGAAACACTTCAACATCAGTATGCAACGCTTCGTTTCTTTGCAGGTGTTTATATTTTCAAATCACTCAAGACACAATTCCGAGGTATTTACAATGGCCCGTCACCGGGGGCGCCGTTTTTTTAAGAGCAGGCCGGAAGACCGGGTGCCCGGGAACCCCTGATTTCGAGTCTTCATTGAACCCAATGTGGGAAATTCATTGGAATTGGGCTCGCAGCGGCAAGGGAGACCCCGGACTCTCTCTCGCTCTTTCTCTCTCTCTCACCCACCCACACACACTTTTTGGGGGTGGGGTTACTTGCTGTTAGGCACAATTACGGGAAGGGACGAAAACCCACTCGCGGCCTTGCTTAGTACTCCGGACGGGACGCTCGTCCCTGCTCATAACTGTCAGGCCAACGTGGCGACCACTAATCTGCCGCGCTGTCTGTTAGCCCATGAGAAGTCGACAAA